TCATATTGTTAACTGTGCAGTATCTGCTTCTTCTATTAGTAGAAAGTATCACTTTCATTAAGGACATCAATATATCTTATTAAAAACCTACTAGTAATTCGCTTCTCACGTATATTATCTTAAAGGTATAACAATTTGTCGAAGTTATTACTTGTAACAGTTTTCAAGTATATGAAGAGAATGAAGATGTGAATAATTAGTATTATTATGAAAAGTATAAATACTTATTCTTTCGTGATAGATTCTGAATCGCACTTCGGTTTATTATGTTTATTGACTTTTAGCTTGTATTTATATGATATCAGTGATCATGATAAGCAAAAGACCGATTATCTCTAAACAATAATAAACATTTACCACATAATTACCCTGATAAATTTATTTACTACAATAGTTATGAAGTGATATTTTAAGCTTATAGGTCTAATAAATGATATAAAAAGATAATAAAAAAATATAATGAACAGAATGAATAACCTTTAGAAGTTATATACATTAAAGCAATAGAAACATTTACAGGACATTTTTACTATATTAAGATACAAAACAAAAGACATACGTTTTGTCTTATTAGAAAATGTTAAACTAGTTATAGAGTACCGTTATGTTGAATTAAATACAAGAATCAATATTGAGACCAACATTTAACTTGTCTATTGTTTTTATCATTTAGATAGTTTATAATATATATATATATATATATATATATATATATATATATATATATATATATATATATATATATATATATAATAGAACTTGCAGTTTCGTTACATAACTATATTATTAAATGTTATAAATATATAAATATACTTTGTTAACCATTATACTTTATTATTATTTAATTCAGAATGTAACTAGTTACTAAAATTCCTTAAATATGACATTTATTTATTCATTTATCGAAACATTTAAATATTCTAACTTGATCATATTTACTGTGATAAATTTAGAATGTAATTCGGTTTGTATTTACTAACCGATAAATAGATAAAGATATAATATGAATAACCTTTGAAGATCAGACATTTATATATTGTTTAAAGTAATTAGTCTCTTTAATAAAATTTAATAGAGCAATAAGAAGACGTAGTTGATCTGAAAAAATATGATACATTTTGAACAAACTGGTCACATTTATACTTGTCAAAATATTTTATATGAAAATTAATAAAGGTTAATTGAATGGAAATTCAAGTAAAAAACCTAACAAAGGGGAGAGAAACATTTCTTACATCACTTTGCTAAGCCATAAAATGATTTAAGGATTACCAGAGTAAATTCAAAATAACAATAAATTGATTTTTTACACATAAGGAGGTAGGCTAAATTTACGAATAGCCAAGGCTTCAATAAACTATTCGAAATGGACAGAAACTATGGAAAATTAAATATTGCCCTGTTCAAGTTTTTTTTTCTCATAAACTGACCACTTTACTTATTTATTTATGACCATTTTATAGTTCAGTCCTCCCTTCGACTAAAAGTATGTTTACATATGTATGCATATATTGTATTTTAGTCTTAAATATTTAAGTTTAATGACTGATTTTTAATTTAACTAGTTGAATTTATTTAGCTTTAAAAAACCATATTAAATATGCCTTCGGTTAAAGAAATTAATCAAGTTTAAACATAAACCAAGAGCTTGCATTATCTATGAATAAGTGAATAAATCCAGTTTCCGTGAGGTAGTCATGTTGTACTTGATCCCAATAAACTTCATTCAACAAGTCATTCAGTAGATTATATTATAATTCAAGACATGTAGCTTCAGTATATCGTATTTCATAAAAACACTTGTTTGAGTGATTGGGTAACATCAATAAGCTACAAATACAATGAGTGCAGACAAATTATGTGGGATAAATTTCATTCAGTTCACTAGAACATCAAGTTTTTGCATTGTAATTCCATCCACATAGTAAAATCACCTATAATGACTTGAGAAAATGAGTTTGATAAATACATAAACAGCGTAACATATTGATCAAAACAGGTAAGCTGAAAGCCATTACAGCACAAAAAATTTTAAAAAATTGCATGTTCGTTGATATCATGAACCGACATAAGTTAGATCACTATTGAAAATCTAGAAGCATTGGAGATTGTCTTGTCCTAGCTCAGAACTCGAAAGTGAACATCCATGAATTTGCACGAAGGAATTAAATTTTGGACCTTCGGTCTCGTACGTGAACTTTTAACCTATGGACTATTGAGTCCGAACGCAGCGGTGTTAATGTCAAACTCTAATCAGTCCACGACAATGCGCGATCACCTTTCATCCTTGGTTTAGCTTCACTGGTTAAATTTAAATCAAGTTTATTAACAAATGTAGACACTGGAAGATTCTTCGTATGGCATTACTCAGTTTATAATTTATAAAACAACATTTTTACTAATAATACCTTTTCTAAAAATTATATTGTTTACCTTCGCTATTCAATCAAAAATTCTCTCTGGTTTCTTTTCGTGTTTTAGTAAAGGAATTGAGGGTTGAAATTAATTTCATCGCTGTTTTCAAACATTATGTTAAATGATTTATTTATAAAAAGAAAAAAAGAGACACTCACTGATTATAAAACAAAGGGTTACTTTTGTGATTATTATTTGTGTAATAGCTCTTTCACCCGATTTACTTGCTTATCTGTTCCAAGTTTAGGATCTAACGATTCATAAAGTGTCCACATTGATTAAATGAGCCTAATATCATTGATATCGAAGATCTTCATTAGTTTACGGAATCAAATCAAACTAATTGCTACTATCACTCTCTCCATATGCGTTTAATTCCTAATAATATTGGCGATTATTTTAAAATTATTAAAGATTTAAGTGTACCTTATGAATGTTAGCACCAAAGTTGATATAGAACGATCATTACGAAATAAAATGTAGTCATCTAACTCATTAGTTTTTCAGTGTTATTGTTTTTTTATGGCGCTAACTTTATGCAACCCATATCCGTAATTCGGTAATTATGATTTTACTTTTTTTACAGAGATAACATTTTTGTGTGTATGTTTATTCAACATTTTGGAGATCAATCAGCTTATAATAACCGTTTCTATAGCAACGAATAAACAATTGAATGGACAAATAATTCGTTTTTTTTGTTTTAAATAAAAGTAAACATATTTAATGTGAAATAAAGCTTTCAAAATTGAAGTACATGAGATTTTTTATTGAGTAATTAAGGTTGTTTTTCGTTTCATTTGTTGAACATTATAAACATATAATGTAATGTATTGTACAGTTTACTAACAATTCACATGTTTGTAAACTATGAGAATTCCTAATATAAATATTTAAATAGTAAGATAAAGATACTTCATCACTACTATTGATAAGCTTTATTTACTATGTACACAAGTGTGCTCAATATTTTGATTTTTAAAAGAATCCTGAATAAAAAAAATCCAATGGGCAAACTGACGACTAGAGTGTTCTATACTCGTTCCATTATTATGTACTCTAGTGTGCAATGAGATTGTTTGATAGAGTTGACATGAGTGACTATTGGACAAAATAGCAGCAGTAAGCTATGTGTCGGGATCATGGATACGCACTGCTTTGTAGTTCCATACTAAAAGAAAATGTCTGTTCAGTGCTTCGGGGTTTTCAATGGTAGTCTAACGTTGATAAGTCCATGATTTCAATGAAATTCTACAACCTCCGAAACCCTAAACTATTACATTTTGTGAGTATAACTTGTACTCAAGAATATTGGCAAAAATGTAAATACGACCTAATATCAAACTTGCAGACTGATTATATAAAAGACTCAAATTGTAATAAATTACGTTTGTAATCTTACAAATAATCAGATATTTTATGTATAGGTGATTAATCATGTGTTTCTTAATTAGTATAAATAACATGTCTTATTGAGTTTAAGTGAATCAATTAAGTGAAGGATAACTGAGTTATTTTAAATGAATATTACTACTGTAGACAACGAGAAAACAGTTGGGGACAACCAAGTATATTTGAATACAAAAACAACTAGTTAATAATTACTAGGATGTTTTTCTACTTAGAAACACTATCACTCCAAGTGTAAAATTATTATTTGTATTTTAATATGACATTATTAATGAAAAAATTAGATTCATGTTAAGTGGACTGTCAAAATATGTTTCTTTGAATTATTGATCGTTCAGTTAAATCAACTGTAAAACTAATAAATACTAGAACGTATTAGCTTATTATCATTATGTTTTTTAACTTATTTTCAGACTATTTAACCGTGAAATATTTGATTGTATGAGAAATAAAACTTGGAATCTTTATGCAGCCTGTAGTTAAGAGAGATTAGTTATGAAACTTATTTTTCAATGAGTATGACGTAATTGTTAAAATCATTTGATTTTTCAAACGTAATTTAACTTATATAAGTCTTTCAAGAAATTGGTCTTCATATATATATTTTTATATTGCTTGGACAGGATTTTTAAAAGGTGAATCAGTTTTAAATAAATTACTTTAATTTGTAATATAATCCGGAATGACAATGTAAACGTTACAAATAAACTGTCTTGTACAGTCTCTCCAAGAATAAATCTCATAGCAAAACAATATGAATTCATTAATATTCTGAATTTTCTTCAGCTGTTTACAATTTAAATCTATATGTACCAAGTGTATATACTTTATATAGGACACGACTTGAATAAATTGACTGAACAAACAGAGATAGAAGTGAGTTGGTTAAAGCTAGACATTAACACCGTTGAATGCCAGTGGTTCAGAAATGAAGCGTTCACGCATGAGACCGAAGGTCGTGGGTTCGAATCCTGCGACGAGATTGTGGATGTGCATTGCTGAAGAGTCAACCCATAGAACGAAACGGCCATCCGGTTCTTCAGGTTTTCCATGGTGGTTTAGCTCCAATCAATACATGAATTGAACTATGAAAGATAGAGGTGTTTATCATGAACTCATGAAATATTTATATTTGCATTAATAAAATTTATATATAACCAATAAATATAGTTTACCTGATTATAAATATTTGCTGTATAGTCTTTCATCCATGGAACATAAGTTGATGTGATTGTTTTGATTAGATTGATTAGAAATTTGTAAAGGAATGTTTCACTGCCATATTGATATAAAACATCGATAATATTAGATAATTTCGCTTTATTTTGATATTTTAATTTCGTCCTAATAGTGTTCGGTAATATACTGTATGATTCGTATATTATTGTTAATTCTACAAAGAAGTTACCCTATCGATAAAAAGAAGAGAAGAATTTGACCAATGAATGGTGATTTCATCACAACTCAGTATTCAAATAAGATGAACTACATAAATTTGTTTTAAAATAAATTATCAAGAGTTTTAATTTGACTTTGATGTGTAGTGACATGATGAAAGTGGGAAGACTAGTAATGTAATGAACGAATAACCAAAGATTCTTTAATACAAAATTATAGAAATTCTTGGTAAAATATGAAAATCATACAATGAATATTTCATTTGCGAGTTTTCATTATTTGTCTTTTACATTTTGTATGATACTCTCAAGTGACAATTCCTTTCTATTACTGTTTCTGTTTTTTCGTCATCTAGATCTTCTTAGACCTTGCTTCCATATTTTCCTTTTCAGACTGTTGTTACATGCTACTTATACTTGTCGACGTAAGTAGCACACATCACACTTATAATCGATAAGTGATAATATTATTAACAATAACAATAACCCTACCAGAACCATTGTTCAAAATCATTCATATAGCCGGAAAACTCAGTCCTAAAGGAATAAAATTGAAATGTTTATATACAGTGGAGGTTATATCTATTTATCTATCAATTAGACTGTAAACCTTGTACACGAAAAAAATCTGTTCGATTCTTCATTCTAACATAATCTTAATCTCCTTTTTGACCTACCATAATCTATAGCTTTTTCGAATTCTATACAATTATTTTACACAACTGTTAATTAGATATTAATTTAACCTTTATTTAATCTGCTGTTAATATTAGTCCAGTGGACATTTATTTTCACCTTGAGATGTTTTATCAGCCATCAAATTACTACATGACATCTTTTTATTATCGGATTATTGTAACCAATTCATGGTATAATGCTACTGTAAATACAGAGGGGTTTTGTGGAGATTGAGGTATTTTTTTAATAATTCATTCATGAGTCAAATAAAGCTAGACCACCATGGAAAACCTGGAAGCACTGAACGGCCGTTACATCCTAGTATGAGACTCCTCAATAGTTTACATCCACGATCCCGCCTGGCGAGATTCAAACACAGGACCTATCAGTCTCGCATGTAAATGTTTAAACCACTGAGACTCCTGATGGATGTCTCGCTCAACTTCGCGGGTTAGTTGAAGTTAACATTACCATAAACACTGTTGGATGCCGGCTCAGTGGTCTAGATGTTAAGTGTTCGAATCTCGCGAGGCTGGATCGTGGATGCACGCTGCTGAAAAGTCTCATACTGGGAGGGAACGACCATCCAGTTCTTCCAGGTTTTCCGTGGTGGCCTAGGTTTAATTGACTCATTAATTCAATTATTAAAAAACTGCTACTATGACTCTTTAAATTATTCAACATCAATCACTTTCTACATAGGCAATTAGTCGACTTCCCAAGTGAATGTAATTGTTGAAACAAAAATTCATACCAATGAATAGTCTTCCATATTTTAATAATTTAATTCATCACTGTCAATTTCATTATTACTCATTCAAAATGAAAACGAATATCATTTTAACATATATTCAAGATTCTAAATATTCAAAAATTATATCTTCAATAGTGAAAGTTTTATTATTAGTTCAATAACTGAAATTATTATTTTTGATCATTCATAAGATGTAAATTGAATTAGTTCTAATATAATGTTCTTTCTTGAGTGAGATCATGAGCCGAACGTCAACTGGTTCATGATCTTAATCAAATACTTTATAATCTCCACAACACTTATACTGATAATTTTCTTTTGTCTTTTTTGTTGTTATTCAAAGTAAATGCAAAGAGAAGTGATGTGTTTCGTTTCAAGATTTTCAATAATTTACATCGTTATAATTTAAAAGTTTCTCTTATTATTTTCATAATATGTAGGTATCATTGTCAAGGTTTGATTTCATAATTTCGAATAAATTGAGCATTGGGTAGGTTGTTACAAACAAACAATGTATTTGTAATATCCCAATGAACAGAAAAATAAGATTTTCTGACGTTTCGTGAATCAGTGTAGGCCACTTCATCAAAGAATAAATAACCAAATTAAAATTAATCCAAGTTTATGTTGTACAACAGAACAACACGAATATCAAGTGATCAAGTTGTACAATCGTATATATATACGATTGTACAGCTTGATAATAAAGTCATTAAAAAGAGATTTTTTCGCTGAACTTCATATTCTTAATTTCTAATGTTTAAATAGGAATTATCTGTCAATAAGTGTTTTATCAACGTTATTTAACATTAATTAATTGTTTCCATCCTTTAATTCTGACTATCTAATAGATAATCTAGTCTTTTTAAAACTTCCTATTTTTGAGACAAACAAATTGTTCAACCTAAACTTTATACAAAGTGAGGTTAATTAAGTTTTATTTTACCACTTTATAAAAGATATTTTGTTTTTAATTATCAATGATTCTAGGAAAAAATGTTGCTTTTTCCTATTTTTGTCTCATCATCATCAACAACATCAACATCATCATCATTAATTGTAAGTTGAAAGAAAAAAGGGCGATACACTTTTAATTCAAACAATTAATATTGATATTGAATAAGAAAATAATTTGATTGAATTATAAACATTTTAACAATAGCTTAGCGATAATCAAAAGGTTGATTAAAGATAATTAATGATAAACAGTTTTTATTATTATTAGAAACATAGTTACAGGACATTGATTTTTATCATTTGCATTATTTAGTTACTTCAGTTATCTTTACTGATTAATTGATTTGTTTGATATTTGTGGACATTGAAAATGTTTGTATATTTGAGCTACATGTTCCTAGCACCTGGATATTTCAACAAGTTTTCTGTTTTTCTCGTTTGTTTTAACACATCTTTATGTATATTAGTCGCATAACCTATTCAGGTACACTTGTGAAAAGTTTACGACATTACGACAGACCAATGAGAGATATCGTGGTCGCTGGCAATGTGCATCGAAAAGAATATACATTATTCAAATGTCGATTCCTGAACTGCTAATATCTAACTAATGACAACTCAGTATTTATCGCGAGGATCGATCAAGAAATAAGGAAAGGGAACTTGTTCAAGTACATCGTGCTGAGAATTCTATATTATACCAAGAATATAATATTGAATAAAGCCACTAATAATAAATAAAAAAAGAAATTAAGTTATCTATGATGTTGAACCTCTGAATGAATCATTATAAATTATACTTCACAAATATTACTACTTATATAATATACGCCTTTAAGTATTACTTCAATGAAGATGTTCAAAGAATAAAAAATACAAGAAAAAATATTTCATCAAAATATAATGAAATTTAATAAATGTTATTTAACAAGATTTGATGATAGAATAATAAGATGATCAACACAAATGATCTAGATTTCCTACATTCTTAATTTGTAATAACTACATTATAGAAGAAGGAAAACAGAATCTTCAATAACAAAAGAAGAAGATTAGCTGTATTGTTAATCAGTAATAAGTTTTAAAATAGGTAAACATCTAATTGAAGTATTTTTTATGACTATTGAAGATTTTGAATAAAGTTTACTAAAAACGAAGTGTATACAGCATACATTGTATACATTACTATTACGATTTAACAAATCCTGATACAATTTGCTACAATATATACTAAGATTTGTGATAAGTTCTTCTCGCGTAATTATAGATTTGATAAAACATATAAGCGAAGAATATAATTTTCAGTTAGATTTTGACCAGCCTTAATGGAAGTTATACTTGGAAAAAAATGAGAAGTGATAAGTCACTTAATGTATGTTATGCGTTGCTGAAAACATTGAAGTACGTCACATTGTAGTGAACGGAAACACAAGTGGGGACAATCGATTGTGTTTGAATGGAAAATTACAAAACATCTTCGTCAGATCTGCGATCCATACAATAAATACTTTGTTTGCAAAATGTCAATCAGCCGTCTCAGACTTCATTGTTCTTTCGTTTCGACACCAATCACTCTCTGTTCTCGTTCTTTTTTATTCGATCTTCTTAATCTTCTGCCATCAGACACTTTAATTTCGACTGACGATACACATTATTATGTCTGTTGACATCAGTAGCACACACCACAATATGAAATAAATTAATTAACAGCATGAAGGTCAAATTGTTTTGGAAAGTTTATGTGCTATTTCTAGAAATCTGATCAAGTACACAGCTAGTCATCTTATTTTGAATCCAAAAGAGGAAAGATCAGTGAAATAAATAAATGGTGAGTATTCATACTAACAGTCCAAATGTATTCAAGCATGTATACATATGAAGTAGCATGTGCAAAATCTCTATTTCCCCGTCTCTGCTTAATGAGATTAACTGTGCTTCAGCATAGTTCGAGGGTAACATTGATAGAAAAAAGGAACTCGGATATCATACGAATCTCTGTAGAAAAAACATAATGGATCCATACACAAAGCCCTATTTTATGATAGTTTTATCTTGATATTGAGAAATAAGGATGGGCTGATTGAATCAAGCTTTTCATTTGGATTTTCACTTTAAACACTTTTGGAAAGCTCACTAGTCATATTGGACTGTCAAGCTAGTTGACAGGAGATGGGATGCGCTTCGGATTATCAATTCGAAGAAATAATAATTATTTTTGATGTTTATAAAAAAGATTAAATTATCTTAGTACATTCATATTTTCTTCAGAACATGAAGTTTCAAAGAAATAATTATGTGTACCAGAAGGGGTTTCATGGATTCTAGAATAATTTCAATAGTTGAGATCATGAGTCAATTGAGGCTAGATCAACATAGAAAACCTGGTTATTTATCTAACTGTCTAATGATTTTAAAACATACTTTGGATTTATCATAATTAGTAGTGTGTTTCTTAAACTCACTCAAATTAAAATTTGTCTAATTGTATTCTGTTCAAGATATACTTTGTGAGGTTTCTACATTTGAACTGCTATTCACAGAGTATATAACAACATTCTGATGTTGATTTTCACCTTACCTTATTCCTTAATGTATTTATATTTTGAGGTGTAATAATATTCGT